TTTAGTATTCTATGCATTTGTCAACTTAAAGTGCAGCTGAATAAGATGTTTACAAAAGTCATTGTATCAACTGACTCATTCAACCTTGTTTTGCCAGGGATTCTTTTTTTAATAAATATTTTTATTGTATTTTTTTCTACTTTTCTATCCGTTGCAACCAGTGCTCCATTCATTTCATCTTGTCTTATACTCTTTAACATAACATATTAATCTAATCTATTCTACTTAAATTGGTGTAGATTTCATCCAGGTATAAAGAGGTTCCCATTTAATATTATCCAGTCTGTCATTTAGTGTATCTGTCAAAATATCCATTTCTGCTACTTCCAAAATCTTCTCAATAAATTCCTTCTTTGTTGGCACCCTTATAGTCTTCCACTTACTGGCATATACAATTCTAGCTGCAGTTATCAGGTGTAAAGTTATTGAGTAAGTCTTGTTTTCTTCAAGTGTAGCTGGTGAAGCTACACCTGTTTTGCCAGTGATTCTAATGGTGCTACATGTGATAGATTAGTTATGTAAAATGAAAATTTAGAGCAGAAAAGGAGAGAAGCAAAAATTATCATCTACAATAGATTTTAAAAAGGCTTGTAGTTAATGTAGAGATTACAAGGTTTTAAGCTTTGTTGTTTGAAAATTGTTGCCTCAACTGACTGTGGTTTTAAGATAGTCCATTAGGTCATCAGAAGGTAGTTTGGTCTAGCACAATATTTTCTACTCTATCTAGCAGGGCTTCAATAAGATACTGTATAAGTCTTACTGAGACTGGAAACAAACATCAGAGATAGGGTGTGATTAGAAAGTGACATAAAGATTGTGGACCTTGTTAGAAAAATCTGAAAATATATTGATCTCCTTTCTTTCCAATCTATGTATTTCCATTTCCCATCACTATCTTCAGAGCATGAACCTTGATGCATTACAGAAGGTCAGCCTTCATGAGACAACATTGCTTTGGAAAGTCTCTTTTTCACCTCCACAAGATAAGGGCCATAGCTTACCTCAAAGTACTCTCACAAGGACATTAGAATCTATTCAGCCTCAGAGTCTGAACCTGAATAAATGATGTTGGATAAACAAGCTAACAGTCTTGTCAGCTTCCCATCCTGAACAATATGCCTTATGTCTCTGACGGGTCATCATTGTCCAGGAGGTGACAAAACTAACTCTAAAGCGCCTCTTAGAACACAACAGGAAAAGAACCTTTAAAATACGTTTTACAACAGCTTGTTCACACTGTGAAATTTGGTGCGATTGTCCAGTGCTTAGAAGGTCACAAAAAGTCCCCAAATCATCCTGAAAAGATTGCATGCCCAAGCCCTGTGTCAGAAAGAGACGGGCCAGCTCTTAAAGGGGAAGGATGGATCTTTTAAAGTAGAAACACAAGTGGATGAGTTATTTTTTTTTCTGTGCCAAACAATGCTGTCAGGGAACCATATATCAGAAGTAGATGCCAGTGATCAGGAATTACAAAATGCAGTTAATAAGACCTGTTCTCCATTGTTTTTTCACAATCACCTCAAAACTGGACAACCAGCTGCTTTTCCCCCCCTTGCTTCAGTGTCCACAAAATCGTAGGGTTTTTTTCTCTTGCCAGATGCAATGTCATGCCTGCAGCCTTACTGGATGGCAGGTTTAATGGAAACCCCTATCTGGAAAGGTGTTGCTCATGTGAGCAGGATGCCTTGGAAACCCTCGCTCACATGCTTTTCCATTGCCCTCTCCACCAGGACTAGCATACAAATTATGTTGCCTCAATTTTATTAAAGATGGAGGGGAAATCTGATCTGGAGAAAGTTTGCTTTCTGTTATTAGTAGAGGTGGTTGATATCATTGAAAGAGTTGCAGATTATATCCCCTTCCCAGTTAGAAGTATTCATGTTTTTTTTCATAGAATAAATGAGTTGGAAGGGCCCTATAAAGTCCAACCTCCTGCTCAATGCAGGAATCCAAATCAAAGCAGATCTGACAGATGGTTGCCCAGTTTTCACTTGAAAGCCTCCAGTGTTGGACTGCTTATCACCTTCCGAGGTAATTGGTTCCATTGTCATACTTTTCTAATGGTTAAGACGTGTTTCATGATATTCAGCCTAAATCTGGCTTCCTGTAGCTTGAGCCCATTATTACATGCTCTGCACTCTGGGATGATCGAGAACAGATCCTGCCCCTCTTTTATATTGCTACCTTTCAAGTATTTGAAAAGTTTTATCATAGCTCCCCTCAGTCTTCTTTTCCCAAGGCTAAACATGCCCAGTTCTTCCAGTCTTTCCTCACAGGGCTTGGTTTCCAGTCCCCTGATCATCCTTGTTGACCTCCTCTGGGCTTGTTCCAGTTTGTTAGCATCCTTCTTAAAGTGAGGTGTCCAGAGTACAATATTCTAGAAGACGGCCAACCAGTTCTGAATACTAGTTCCCCTCACTAACCAGTGAGGGGAACTAGTACCTTATGGGATTTGGAGAGTATACTTATGTTAATGCATCCTAAAATAGCATTTGCCTTTTTTTGCAGCCACTTCACACTATTGGCTCATATTCAGCTTTTATTTTCCAGGGCAACATAAACAAAACAAGTCTCTGTCCCAGGGAGCTTCCAATTTTCACAGTGGAAAAGTGAGATCCTCACTCCAAATGGCCCTAGAACAATTTTGGTCTCAATTCAGATTAGATGCTGGTGTTTCATTTACAGTTATAAAGGTGAAGGGATAGATGAGAATGTGATTCATCCACTTTTTTAACTTCTTGCTTTTATATCATTTACATATTATAATAACTTGAAAGGCAAATAATTAGTAACAAAGATTTTTATGGAAAAGTCATCAGACCAATACTATAAACCATTTTCTAGATTTATAGCAAGTTTCTGTGCATGTTTACTGAAATATAAGTCCTACTGAATTTTAAAAAAATGTCCCACTGACTTTAGTGGAGACTTATTCGGAAGCAAGTGTCCTTTGGATTGCAGCTTAGATCGAAAGTCAGAAATCTTCCAGATGGCAGCTTCATGTGGTTACTATTTAGCTTGGCAGCACACTGTCATAGATTGTGGGAAATGTCCAGGGAAGACAGGCATGTTTATATAAATAATGCAGAAAGCCAATATTATTTCTGATGAGTGAAAACCATGTGCATTAGCAATGAACAGAAATTTTCAAGCTGTTTATCAAATGTAATATGGCAACATGATCAGTCTTGTCATTTATAACTATTTGGACATGGCAGGTATAATTGGAACAAGAGTGTTGGGATGAGTGGGTATGTGGAGACTAACTTTCTGGAGAGCTGTCTTGGCCTCTGATTCATTTTTCCCTCCAAATAGTTGGTGAAATTGATTTTGCCAGATTTTTGCAATGCTTTGAACTGGTTTTCAACAGCCTAGACACTTCTACTGCAAAGGTTGCTTTAATTTTTTTAATGTACCTGTTGTTGTTGTTTAGTTGTTAAGTCGTTTTTTAACTTCTTGCTTTTATATCATTCATATATTATAATAACTAGAAAGACAAATAATTAGTAACAAAGAAGATTTTTATGGAAAAGTCATCAGACCAACACTATAAACCATTTTCTAGATTTATAGCAAGTTTCTGTGCATGTTTACTGAAATATAAGTCCTACTGAATTTTAAAAAAATGTCCCACTGACTTTAGTGGAGACTTATTCGGAAGCAAGTGTCCTTTGGATTGCAGCTTAGATCGAAAGTCAGAAATCTTCCAGATGGCAGCTTCATGTGGTTACTGTTTAGCTTGGCAGCACACTGTCATAGATTGTGGGAAATGTCCAGGGAAGACAGGCATGTTTATATAAATAATGCAGAAAGCCAATATTATTTCTGATGAGTGAAAACCATGTGCATTAGCAATGAACAGAAATTTTCAAGCTGTTTATCAAATGTAATATGGCAACATGATCAGTCTTGTCATTTATAACTATTTGGACATGGCAGGTATAATTGGAACAAGAGTGTTGGGATGAGTGGGTATGTGGAGACTAACTTTCTGGAGAGCTGTCTTGGCCTCTGATTCATTTTTCCCTCCAAATAGTTGGTGAAATTGATTTTGCCAGATTTTTGCAATGCTTTGAACTGGTTTTCAACAGCCTAGACACTTCTACTGCAAAGGTTGCTTTAATTTTTTTAATGTACCTGTTGTTGTTGTTTAGTTGTTAAGTCGTGTCTGACTCTTTGTGACCCCATTGACCAGAGCATGCCAGGCCCTCCTGTCTTCCACTGCCTCCTGGAGTTGGGTCAAATTCATGTTGGTAGCTTCGATGACACTGTCCAGCCATCTCGTCCTCTTTCGTCCCCTTCTCTTGCCTTCACACTTTCCCAATATCAGGGGCTTTTCCAGGGAGTCTTGTCTTCTCATGAGATGGCCAAAGTTGTACCTGTAAGGTATACCTATTAATCTTGTCAAAACCTGGAAAGGTTACTTGTAATGTATTACAACTCCTAGAGTGCCTTGGGTCATATGATGAGGTGGTCTAAAAAATTAACTTGTCCTATCTCTTGTCCATGATGGTGAGTAACCCATTTACACTTCCCGTGATAGGGAGAGTTTTGGAATAGTCAGTCTCTCCATGCCTTTGGCTGATTGAGTCTAGGGGAGAGGTGGGATCCCCTGACCCTCCAGTTATATCCAGACTACAAATCTCACCAGCTCCAACCATCATGACCAATGGATCTGGATTACTTTCATCCTGGGGTATAAACCACCTGACCATGATTCATTACAACAGAGGTATGGAAAGTATCGGAAGAACTAGAAAACATTTCCCTTCTGTGACCAGGGCCTCAGTCTAAGCAAATGAAATAAATTTGACCTGACTGCCAGCTACAACAAATGGACCAATATCCTGCAGCTTGTGTTAAGTAGTTGATACAAGAAAGCCTACCAAGAATTTTAGAAATGTCTTCCATCTATATTTATAACGTTATGGAAACTAGAAACAATGAATTAAATACTTTCTGTACTTTTTACGTTTTGTGTATTTTGTTTCTCTCCTCAGGATGAATAAAAGATACTTGCAGAAAGCAACAAAAGGGAAACTGCTAATAATAATATTTATTGTAACGTTGTGGGGAAAAATTGCATCAGGGGCAAACCATCACAAAGGTAAGAAATTGCACTGTATATGCCGACTGATGTGGCATCTGCAAACCCCTTAAGACAAGGTGTACCTTTAAAAACAAAAAAATGTTAGAAGTTCATTAACTTCTTATAATTTAATGAGGTCAAAATAGAAACTAATGTTTAAAAAGGTTTTCTTTAAGCAGTTCTTTACTATAAAATATCCCTGGAGAAATTTTATGCCCATGCTGTGTAATGCATGTCTTGTTTTTATCACCGTATTTTGTGTTTTGTTATCTGAAGATAATAAACTTGAGAAATTGAGTAAGTTCATAATAAAGCTCTTTCTCTCATAAAAAGCGATTCATCAAAGAGTATATGGAACTGCTATAAATGAGTTAATGAAATGACTCTTATAAAAGCAATCTTCAATATGTACTACTGCCATAGAATTCCAGTTATGTTTGCAAATTGCAATGGACAATTTCACTTAGCTTGTTTTTTTGGTAAGAACTTTCTGAAATTCTCAGATTTCTCCATAAATCAAAGAGGAAGAAATAGAAATTTAAACATTCAAAGGAGGATGAAAGCAAAATTGGCATATTGTTCCATCTGTGTAAACAACTGTTTAAACCCTGGCTTTGAATCCTGCTTGTTACAAATCTTGGAACCAAACACATTTGTAATACGGAATTATGATTGCCACCTCTTTTTTTTCTTATAGGCTCCTCATTGCTAACTGATACATAACAGGTAGATACAATACAGACCACTATGTGAATGTGGTTCGTGCTAAATTTGGCAGAAGACTTTGTTATGCTAATTAAGCAAATTTATTAAGAACTTGTCAAATTTTGCACATATTTCATGAAAAGAACTTGAAATGAAAATGAATCAAACATGAGAAAAAAGCATAACAGACAGATTTGCGCCATACCTAAAGATGTGTGCCTGTAATGGCTAATCTTTTCATGATAAGATCTAAGAAAGCTTTCTTGTCTCCTGAGTATTTACAGAATCACAGATTCCCTTTTGTAGCACTGCACTCCTTGAACTGGCACTATAGAATTATGTTTACCATTTGACAGTTTCTCTCTCTATTTTACTTTTAGAACTTGGAACCCCACTCCAGGGAGCATTATTCCTTGATTTATGGATAAATAGAAGGAAGTGCTCCGGTTTTACTATACTAAAACACAAAAGAAAACACATACATACAATCAAACAGTAGAGATGATAGTCATAGGTTTTGATGAAGAATATTTTTTTTCTGTTGCATTTCTCACTTTGTTGTGTCTGCATGTTCTCAGATTCAGGGTTTGAAGATTTGATTATCAGATAAAGCGTTAGCAAAGTATCAACATACTGCAAATAAGGGGGGAAGTATGATTTGGTGGGAGGAAGACCCACATGAGATGAGACATGGAGGCCAAAACTGGACGTGGAGTGACATGCCCAGAAATGGCAGATTGCCACTAATTAAATATTCATGCTTTAATTTTAGGTTGCATGTGATTTTATCTCATTACATGCAGCTCACGCACAATCTGAAATTAAAGTAGAAACTCTTTAATTTGCAGCAATCTGTACCAGTGAAACTATGCGACAGGGTATTGGCCCATTGTACCAGTGAAACTATGCAACAGGGCATTGGCCAAGATTAAGGATGGGATTTTTGGAATTTGCCGACTTCCAACCTCAGAAATCACATAGAATCACCCAGGCAGATGTCTGGGACCAGGAGCCGAAAAAACAGAAGGCAAAAGAGATATCTGCCCAACAACATTGTCTGCTTTATTCGACATGTATCACCTGGGAAGAAGGGAAGCCTCCTTTATCTCCTGGGGATTTCCATAGTGCACCATGGAGGGGGTATTTCAGCGAGATGCTCCCTTAATATACTGTAGTTTAATGGGTAGTGCAACTACCCTCCTTATGGTGCTCTAGGGCAGTGGTTCCCAACCAGGTGTTCTTGAACTGCAACTCCCAGAAGCCTTCACCACCAGCTGTGCTGATTGGGGTTTCTGGGAGTTGTCAACCAAGAACACTTGTATTACCCAGCGTTGGGAAGCACTACTCCAGGGTGATTCCCACGGTGATTCCCAGAAAGCAGTGAGACTGAAGGCAAAAGATGCACATGGAATAAAGCAGACAATGGAAGTAGAAAGATACCTCTTTTGTCTTCTGGTTTCTCCTCTCCCAGTCCCAGAGGTCTGCTCCTAGTTCCTACTAAACTGTGGCCCCATTTCAAATATGGACATCCTATAGAACAGTGTTTCCCAACCTGGGAAACACAAGGGGGGGGGCGTTCATAGTGTATTCTGCAGGGTTGTGCATCACCTTATATGTGTTGTAGCCCTTGTTAAATAATCTCTTTCTTGACCTTTTAGAGCCAGATATTAAAGTTAGTGTGTATGTGCAGATATGAGAAACAGTCCCTTTGAGGGAGAAAGAAGCCTCTGCTGTCTGAGAAGGAATTACTTTACCCTGTCCAAAATGCCTTTTCATGCAGACATGATGGTGGTGGGGTCACAGGTTACTTGGCTATTATAAAAGGGGGTAGTGACTCTAAAAGGTTGGGAACCATTGCTACAGACAGATGCTGGGAAATCTGGTCATGCATCTCTTGTAGCTTGCCTAGCTGCATCCTAGATTACTGCATCTCTGTAAGAAGTGTATTGTGTCAATTGTGACGCTGAGATGCTAAATAATTATTTTGGCATTCATATGAGTTGTATAAAGAAATATCTCTTCAAGAAATGGCTGGGCGTTTTAAAATGCCAACCAGTTTTTGTGAATAAACAAATTTCTAGAATGTCCACTGCAGCCATCACAGTGATTTCAATTGAATGTTGCTTTGACCTGAAATGAAAGAACCACTTTAGATGTTTTGATGGGCTTAGCAAGGGCAGTGGGCTTTCTTCATGTTTACATCAACAGCAAGTGCTCTCACTTTATAAACAATATTCATGAGGACTACTGCCCACTTTCTTGCCATCTTCCATATCCATGAATAAAAGTGAAAATAGAAATGGCCAATGCTGCTGGCAGGGGTCATTTTCAGCCTTTTTTTTTTACTTCAGTGGGTCACGCCCATTCTATCTTGAATGCTTCTACATCCCCACTGCCCCAAAATAAATTTTCAGTGGAAACAACCAACTGTGCTCTCATAAGTCTCTTACAAAATATCCAGTCACAGGCCATTCCCCGCTCTGCCACGCCAGCTTTTTAGGTGTGGAAAAGTGTCCCCATTAAATGTTACTTCAGGCTTTTAGGAGCCAAAGGGAGGAGGGATCAAAATAGCCTGCGAAGATACAGTCTTATACTCCAGACGCTTCTGGAGATGCAGCTGGCTATTTTCAAAACAATATTTTTCCAGGGAGAAGGCTGCAATATGCATCCTGGCCTTCTTTCACATTTTAGGGCACTTTCATACTATGGTTGTGACTTGTTGTATAACCTTTAAATGATACCATTCTATCAACATATGTATAGGGGAAGGGGAGTTTGTGTGTGGTACTTGAAGAGCTGTGATTGAGCAGATTCGTAGTGTGTTTAGTATGTTTTTATCAGTATCAATGCTGTAGTGATAAATCTGCAACCACAGGTTTTTAGTGTCACAATTCCCATATCAGTCTCATCCCATAAAGAGAGTCCAGATGTTCAATCTATAGGATTAGCACATATCAGCAGTTGATGAGAGGGTCTTTCATGAAGTTTATAACTCTTCATTGCCCATTCGAGGCCAAAACACCTTCAAATACATAGTATTAAAAGAGGAATAACTGGTAACAATATGCCATTCCTTGGAAAAAATTTTCTCTTCCAGTTACTGTGAGGTTTGCAGCTAAACTCAGAGGGAATAATGAATCCTTGATGTATGTATGGCAGGTGATGTCATTGTTGCTGCTACTCAGAAAGTTGTACTTCACCCCTGTGGATCCTGGCTTCATTACATGACTGAACTGTATAGTAATTGGACTGGCTCAGTACACAGCAATGTTCCTAAAGGTCAGCTAGATTGGATGGCACTCCATGGCTACTATAGGGTCAGAGAGACAATCTGGTTGAAATCCTGCTGTGCAGTTGTGCAAAAAGGGGTAGCTTGTGGAGATGAATTGCTTCAAATTAAGAAATCTTCATAGATATTATCTGTTAAATACTGAGTTGCACAACTCAGGATGCAAGAGATAATGTCTCTGGAGATTTCTTCACTTGTAACAAATTGCTTCTTAAAAGGTATATCTTTTGTATAGAAGCACAACAAGATTTCAGCCAGTATAACTAGAATATGAGTACAGTGGGGTCTTGACTTGAGAACTTAATCCGTATTGGAAGGCGGTTCTCAAGTCAAAAAGTTCGCAGGTCAAATCTGCATTTCCCATAGGAATGCATTGAAAACCATTTGATCCGTATCTGCTCTTTTCTGTCCATAGAAACGAATGGGAAGCTGCTATTCCGCCTTCGACCACTAGAGGGGGATATTTTGTTTCTTTTTTTCTTAGGTCAAGAAAGGTTCAGGGAAGGCAGGGAAAATACAGTCCAGGCAGTACCAGGCAGTCTGAAGACTGTCTCACAATCCACTCTCTCAACGCTGGGAGGAGTGAGGAAGCAGACAGGCACCCTTTTCACTGGCCAACAGTTAAGTGAAAGTTCAAATTTTGCACTTTCCCTGCCTCCCACGTGGTTTTTTTCAGTTCTTAACTCAAATCTAAGTATGTAAGTCAAGTCAATATTTTCCTATGAGAGTTGTTCTTATGTCAAAATGTTCTTAACTCGAGCCGTTCTTAAGTCAAGACCCCACTGTACATTATTCTTTCAGTTCTACATTTAGTTTAAGACAGCCAAAAAACTTAGGCCACCCACTTACATTCAGGAAGCTCAAGTACCTGCCGTGGCAGTCACCATCACCACCAAATTCTAAGAAGTGGATTCACAGCTCCCTTTTCCTTTTGCCCTATTTTAAAAGCAATTCTTGCCTAATTTTGTTGAGGTAAAGATCAGTTTCGGTATATGAAAGTGTAATTTGCCTTGTATGCTATTTT